AAACCTTGCCTGTGTGACTGTTATCTAAATACCTTAATTGTATATGGAAAAACTATGCCGAAAGAATGATCAATCCACACTGTTTAGAAGTTCTTAGGAAAAAGAATCAATTGGGGAAGCTATAATAGTACACATAAAATTCATAGCAGAAAACAGCTGATATATTAAAAAGCCAAATAACATCACTACTCATTGAGCCTTAGCTTCCTCTGGAAAAAGTCTTGACTTTCCCAGTAGCTTTGCCATAGTCAGCTGAATTCCTATTTCATATTACTACTGTCTGTAGCAAGAACCCTCACAAGGAAACCTTTCCTCATTAACCCCTTTTTGAAATCATGTATGGATGGCCAGTTCTGCCTCCTGGTCTCATGTCTCAGCTGTCACCACACCATGATCACCTTCTTACCCCTTGTTATGCTATCTCCACTCTCTTCTTTGGAACTTCAGCCCCATCCTAGACACCCTTTCCTCCTCAATCAACATCAGGGCCTTGGTCCTCCTCTCTCCTCCCAGTCACAGCCCCCCTCCTCTTTCTTCTAAATGGACAGGCCCCTTCAGGGTCATCCTTACTACCAATTGCCACTAAGCTTGATGTTTTCCCCCACTGGATTTGTCTTTCTCATCTCAAACCCTTTATACCATTGTCCCAAGATAATCTTCTTTTCTACATTTCAACCCCAACAAGACCTCACTCCCTTAAATTTCAGAAGATAACAAGGTGGACCAGTTTGCCTGCAGTTTCAAAAGAATGAAGTCTCACACATCTGTTGAGACCTGACCCTATTGGGTCATGCCCTACCTTTCTTTCTGTCTCTTCCTCTTACTGCTGTTGGACCCTAATTATCAGAAGAGCCTCCATTTTGTCCCATTCTGCCATTCTGCCCTGAGCTGCAGCCCCAGAAACCTCTCACACAGGTGTAAACTGTTGCGGTAATGCCCATGCTACCACCACCCATTCACCATGTCCGAGTGAGGGGCTGTGCATCAAAAAACAGAGACAAGAGACAGCGGGTCATTTGCCTCAGCAGAATGCTGAATGTCATTTATTGAAGGAGGGAGGAAACCTTAAATACAGGCTTACAGCACAATGGGGAAACCCCAGAGTGCAAAAGTTCACTACCAATGTTCTACGTTCTTGCATCTAAGCTGTTTACACCAAATGCAGAATACACGAACAAAGAACCTCCAGTGAGTGTTCAGGAAGAAGGAAACTGGCAGGGAATCAGCATAGGGAGGACATCTGGTCAAGGTCAGCAAGCAAGGCAACAGCTACCCAAAACAGGGGCCAGGGCCCTACAGTCAACTACAAACATTCTACCCACTTCTAATTGGTTGGCTCAGAGCTGGTCCAACCTTCCAAACTACAGAACTCCCTAACAGGCTGGAAGTGTGTCACCATGGAAAGTTCCCAACTGCTTCTCCCCATATTACATTATGATTGGATGGGACTTAGGAGCTGTCTCTCTGTGGTTTTCCCCTATAAAACTAGCTGCTGCCCCTACCTTGGGAACATGGTTTGGAGCCTGAACCTGGCTGCCTCCCTGATAAGTTTTTCTAAATAAATTTGGTTTGCTCCAACTCAGTCTTTTATGGTGGACTATTTACCAGATTCTTGGACCCTAACATTTGGGGCCTTATCTGGGCAGGATCTGAAGGTCCACAGGTTTGAGTCTCTGCCTAGGCTGTCTGCTCCTAGCCCCTGGGGCAATCACCAGAGGTAAACACTAGAGATTTTTGGGTGTGGTGGCTTTTTTTTTCTGGGACCCAAAAGAGGAGAAACTGGACACAGTATTGCTCCTGGGATGAGAGGGAGATGAGAGAAGTCTTGATCCTCTCTGGGGGACTCAGTCAAAGAGACGACTGAGCTGGGCCTCCAGGATCCCACTGGGGGAGTGTCTAAGTCATCTGAATGTTGTGCCCAGATCATGACCCCCAGAGAGACCACCAAAGACGAGCATGCCGAAATGCAAAAGCAAGGTTTAATTCTGGATATCCAAAAGCAATACAAGCCTAGGCAGGGACTTCGTCCAATATATCCAATGCAGTGGAGGCTGGAGGAAGTGCCTACCTGTCTGCAAGCTCAGTTTTTAAAGGCAAAAGCCCCAAGGTTACATCATTTAGAGGTGCTAGTATGGGTACAATTCTGATTGGTTCACTTCTAGGGGCTTTCTAGAAATCATGGCTTAATCTTACTTCTAAGGGAGTGGTTACCCGCCACCATTTTTCATTGGCTGCCCTCAGGTGGGGACACTCCTGCAGTCAGTTACCCTGGAAACCAGGGAGAGGACATTCCATAGTCCGGCAGTCATTACCTCGTGACTACCTTGTGACTCTGTACTTTTACACTTCCTGGTTTCTGGAATCTGAACTGACTGGTTTCAGTAACTAATGGCCTATTCCTAGAAGGAGAAATCTTAGGCCTTAGTTTTTTGGGTGAAAGCGTTTTGGTCTTATTTCTAAGATGGCTCATTTTGGTCTCACAATCTGGTCTCTGAGGCTAAGTCATCTGACCTCTAGTTCCTCCCAGCCAAGAGCGTTTGGCCATCTGTGTTCTGGGGACCATCCACTATTATTCTCCTCGATTATTTCAAGATCATGGGACAAACTCCATCTTTGGGCCCTAATTCTCCCCTAGACCCTGTTTTACATCATTTTAAAGGCTTCAAGAAGGCTCAGGGATCAGGAGATTCTGTCTTTCCTGGAAAGTTCTGCATTCTGTCAGCTCAAGTGGCCAACACTCACAGTTGACTGGCTTCATGGGGGCATTTTCAACTTCGCTGTTTCTCTTGTAGTCCAAACCAAAGTCTTTGGCTGCCCAGGCCACCCTGACCAAATGCCTTCTGTTGTAGCCTGAGTGCTCCTCTTTGAACACTCCCCACCCCCCCCACAAATGGCTCCAGTCTCACAGTGGGGCCAATGCATAGGGAACATCTATCATGCCTCCCTCAGAAGAGGAGCCCTTCACCCTTACTTATGTACCTCCACAAGAAAAGACAAACACAGAGGCTGCCTGGGCTCCCTCCCCCACTGGGGCTTCTAGGGTTCCCCCTCCTACTTCACCTTCCATTTACCCAAAAGCTGCTGTGGTTAAGGACAAGCCAGCATCCTTCCCCTCTCATCACCCCACCCCAATACCACTACAACACCATGGGAACTGCCTCCCTCTCTGAAATTACAGCTAGAAGAAGTAATAAAAGTTTTGTCTGTCTGTTTTGAATGCATGGATGTGGCCACTGAATTTGTGTTTTTGACTGGTCTAGAATGTATGAGTTTACTGTGTTCTGTGTGTCTTGGCTACAGCTTATCTGTTACTGTTACAGCCAGCTACCAGGGCTCAGAATTTATCTCTGGGTGCTCTGGTCATTGGATCTGATGTAATAGGGATTCAAATGCCAATTCAATATGAATGATATTAAAATTGTTTTTTGCTATTCTTTTTTATTGTGGAGCTGGCTCTGGAATTGGGTTTCGGCTCACTATTTTTCAGACACAGACTTGCTTTTAAAGTCTCTTTTGTCCATGTCCAGGGTCAAAAATTGGTGGGCAGGAAGAACAAAGTATAAGTTTACTGGATATGGTTAAAAATCTATAATATTCACAACAAAAATGTTAAATCAAAACTTAAACACAGGGTTAATAATCAAAGGTCCATAGGCAATCTTAAAACAAAGACCCAATTCATCAGTATTGATAGTTCCAAGCAAGTATTCAAATATACTAACCTTGTTTTTTAACCTCATTAGTTCCGCTTCAACTTTCCTTAACTGAAAAATGTCAACCCAAATGTGGTTTTTAGGCTTAAAGGCTCACCCTGAGAAAGACTCCAGACAGCACTGGAATCCCAAACACCAAGTCAGTCACTGGTCAACTAAAATTAGGGTCCCAAATGTTAAGCAACAGAAACTGGAATATTCCTATCTTATGATGCAGTAAGATGGTGACCCTAAACAGTCTGGCAAGAGAACATGCAGCAGTTTTTCACCTATGGGCCATGACCTTTTGGGGAGAAAAAGACATTTTTACAGGAATATCCTAGGGTTGCCTGCATGTCAGATGTTTGAATTACAATTCATAACAATGCACCACAAAAAGTTGAAAACCATTTGTTTAAAGGTTTCTGTCTAACCCCCTTGTTTTTGCTAGCACTGTTAGGCTGTAGTTATTTTCATAAACTGAGTCATACAGGGAACTTTTGTATTGTATTCTAAAATGGTATAATATATAAGGATCAGGAATGTTCCCAGTCTCCTTATGGACTATGTTTATGAATTAAAAATCTTATCTTGAGCTGGGCAGCAGTAGCACACACCTTTAATCCCAGCACTTGGGAGGCAGAACCAAAGCCAGCATGGTCTACAGAGTGAGATCCAGGACAGGCACCAAAACTACACAGAGAAACCCTGTCTCAAAAAACCAAAAAAAAAAAAAATCTTATCTTGATACGAATAGTCAGTCACCTGCTGTGGGATGTCCTGTATGCTGTAAATATGTGTTGCTATGATTGATTGATAAATAAAATGCTGATTGGCCAGTAGCCAGGCAGGAAGAATAATGTAGGTGGGACAAGGAGGAGGAGAATTCTGGGAAGAGGAAGGCTGAGTCAGGAGAGGCTGCTAGCTGTCACCATGACAAGCAACATGTGCAGATGCCAGTGAGCCACAAGCCACGCGGCAAGGTATAGATTAATAGAAATGGGTTAATTTAAGATATAAGAACTAGATAGCAAGAAGCCTGAGCCATTTGGCCAAACAGTTTAAATAATATAAGCGTCTGTGTGTTTATTTGAGTCTGAGTGGTTGCTGTCCCTAGTGGGACTGGAAATAACTCCAGCTACAGTCACCTCATAAAGGATCAAATTCTTTGATATGTTCAGATGAGCTTCTTATATATGTTTTCAGGGTGTTTAGAACTACACTTAATAGATAATGGTCCTCAGATGATTCAGAGATCTGAGAATATGACATTTAAAACATTTAGTGAAAAAAAGCTTCTCATGACAGACAGACATGCTGGCTCCTGGAAGCACCCCTATCTCCTCTAAAGAAGATGATGGGCACAGAAGAACCTCCACTTAGAGCTTGCTTTAAGTATGGCAAGGCTGACCACTGGACCAAAGAAAAGCAAAAACAAAAACAAAACTCTGTTCAACTCCACTATGCCAAGATCCCGTCCAGACCATGGACATTCAGGATACTGGAGAAATTGATTACCCTGCTTTGCCTAGACAAGGTAAGTCAGTCCCTTCAAGTTCTTGCTCCACAGGAAAAGCTGTCAGATCTTCTGTACCTAATAGCCAAAGACTGATGCTGTCCTCAGACCTCTGCTCAATGACCATGGAGGAATCTGGGGTGGCTATCTAGGTAGCCAGTAGGTCTCTGTCATTTTGGTTGGTCATTTTTTCAGGTCTCTGATGATGTTTGATGACTAGGCTAATGACAGCTTTGTCAGTTTAACAGCTCATTCTCCCAAGGCTGCAGCCACCTTGTTAGCTCATTAGTCAGTTCATTATTAGTTAAAGCTATTAGGTTTCTTGTTTTAAAAGGGACAGACAGGTTTGCCTTGTTCACAGACTTCCTGTTAGAGGATAAGCAGGTTTCAGGTATAACTTTCTCTTAAGAGAACATGCTTTACAATGACTGTTCTCTAATGACTACTTATGTCTCTGGTAAATGATTCAAGTCCATAGTCTCTGTGCTGATGTTCCAAAAAAAAATGTTCTAAGATATATAAAGGTCTGAGGATGTAAAAACTTAAACAAATTCTGAGGGTCAAAAAAATTCACACTTTTTAACTCAAAGTCATAGCCTTTGCTGTAACTCCAGATGTAAATCTGTTCCAGCTGTTTTACAGACACTTGTTAGCTGCTTTTTCTATAATGTGAATTTTCTGTGGAATAATCCTTTTGTACACTGTGAAGATTTGTCACTTGGATTGGTTTAATAAAAAGCTGATTGGCTGATAGCCAGGCAGGAATTATAGGGGGACAATCAAACTAGAAGGATGATGGGAAGGAGAAGGACAGAGTCAGAGGAGATGTCAGCCAGCCTCTGAGGAAGCAGGGTGTGTAAAAAATGAGGTGACAAGCCATGAGACACATGGTAAAACATAGATAAGAAATATAGGTTAATTTAAATGTAAGAGCCAGTTAGTAACAATCCTGAGCAATTGGCTGAGCATTTATAATTCATATTAAGTCTCCAAGTCAGTTATTTGGGAAGTGGCTGCTGGTTATTTGGCAGCAGGTGGTTGGGACAGGAAAACTCTGCCTATATGAATTTATAATGCTAATATATCTACAACTTTTATCTCCTTTGATAAACTAAAATTCATGTAAGATTCAAGGAATCAAAGTCATAGGCTTGGATCCACCTGTCACAGGTCAAATGAATAAAGTTCTGAATGTAATGTTTTTCTTTAAGTTCTTCAATTTTAACCTCTGTCCCTAGTCTATATCTCAGCAGATTTCCACTTGGTTGACTGACACACTACCCAGGCAGCACCTGCAAACTACAAGCTGCTGAGCTCCAGACTTGCTGAAAGCTGATGTGATTGCTCCCTCCCTGTCCCTTCACCTGGGTCAGCTAACCAGATGCTTCTGAAAAATGCCCCATTGCCCAGCCTTTGACTCACTTTTCAGCTTTCTTGGACTCTGACAATCGACACCCCAATTCAGCTGGAAGCAGCTACAGAAGAGAGTACACCATCCCTGCCCACATATCATGCTGAAAAAGGTTTTAATCAAAAGGAAACTCCCTGACATAAAGGACAAAATGGTTACTTTTAATGCCAATTGATAATAGGAATGGTGGGAAACAACAACAACAAAAAATTGACCAGGCGGTGGTGACGCACGCCTTTAATCCCAGCACTCGGAAGGCAGAGGCTGGTGGATATCTGTGAGTTCGAGGCCAGCCTGGTCTACAAAGCAAGTTCCAGGAAAGGCACAAAGCTGCACAGAGAAACCCTGTCTCACCCCCCCCCCCCAAAAAAAAAGGAATGGTGGAGCCTTTAGTTGCAATTTATTAATCAAGTTGTATGCACCCTGGCTGCTGAACTCTGTCTCCCACTTCATTCAAAGCAGGATCAATGCAGTTAAGTTCCTAGTCCTTTGGGCCCAATATGACCCCCCTGCAGGACCTAGACCTCTGACATCAATGATTTGTTGACCAACCAGAAGAGGAGGAGTTTTAGCTCTTAGTTATCAGCATTTTGTCCCAGTCTGCCATCCTGCCCTGAGCTGCTACCCATAATACCTGAGGCTAGACTGCAGCCCCTCAAATCCTTCACACAGGTATAGAGCACAACCATTCCACTCACTCCCTTCTGATTGGTTGGCCCAGAGCTGGTCCACACCACCAAACCACAGAACTCCCTGACAGGCTGAAAGTTTATCACCATGTAAAGTCCCCAACTACGTCTCCCCATATTACATTATGATTGGATGGGACTTGGGAGTTGTTTCTTTGAAGTTTTACCCTTTAAAACTGACTGCTGCCCCTCCCTTTGGGGTGCGGTTTGTAGCCTGAACTCTGCCACCTCCCTGATATCAGTTTTTCTAAATAAATCTTTGGTTTGCTCAAACTCGGTGTTTCGCATGGATTATTTCTGGACTCTCAGACTCTAACGCTCCCATCAGTGGCAGGGTTAATGCATGGAGCTTTGAGATTCAAGAAACTTATACTCAGCAATTTGTCCAAACCGCCCACATGGTAGGACCTGGAAATTGCTCACCAGCAGGTTGCCAAAAGGAGATACTATCCCTAAACCATATATATTGATTTCTAAGCCACCTGTCCCCTATGCTTGCTTTCTTCATGATCAAACTTGAGATTACTGTTGACATTGGCCAGAGAGTTGGGGAAGATGTCATTACTGGTCCTGTAGGAGACATAGTGCATACTCAGGAAGGTGTTCTACCTTTTATGCAGAGTGGGTGAGTTTTGCATCCTAATTAAGAACCCATGGCACCCCAGGTGGGAGATGGGGTCAGGGGTAAGTTTTACTGTAGCACCTGTACAGCTGTCCATCTGGCATGATCAAAATACAATGACCCATTCTCTCTACCATTAGGTATAGACAAGGTAGAAGAAGTGGTTCACTCTCCCTGAAGGTCCTCATGTCCCTAATATCACCTATCTTAGATGATATAAATCCCACCACTCTGTCTTCATGGTCATTTCATTTCTTGTTTCTGACCTTAAGCTCTGATTACCAATTACTAAACAACGCTCGGCCTGGCCAATGTAGAGAATGCTGTTTGTGGACTCCTCCTGGGTCAAACTTGCAACTACCCTTCATAGCTTCACTCATTGGACTACTAGATTCTCTCACCTTGTTGCTTATTAACTTCTCTGAGCCAGATACCACTGTCCCCCCTTTATTTCACCCCCCCCCTCTCTGTGGTACTGCAGACTGTTTAACTCCTCAGGGACACAGTTTATGGGCACACTGGATTCCTCAAACTGTAATAATGCCTTGACCCTGAGCCAGCCCTTATGTCCAAGTGTTCACAATGCCTACCTAGCTCCTCTATTGATGCCTACCCCCTGTGTGGTCTGGGACTTGTGCCCTGGCATTCATCTTCCTAAAATTAGGAGTAGTACCTGGCAAGGAACCCTTGCTGGTTCCCATCACAGGGCTTATAGTGGCACAGCATGACAGATGAGTGGTTCAGGTCTTACCCCTTCTTGTGGCCCTGGTAATAACCACTGACATTGCCATTAAGCCATGTGACTGATCATTGTGGAATGTTTAACTATGTAAAGATGTGTTACTTTGGTTTATACTTTGGAATATTACTTTAACTGTGTAAAGGTGTGTTACATTTGTTTCTGCTGCCTTTTTTTTTAACAATGTAAAGATGTTACTTCTGTTTATGCTGCATTTGTTTAATTATGAAAAGATGTGTTGCTGTTTCACTTTGCCTGCCTAAGGTACCTGACTGGTCTAACAAAAAGCTGAGTGGACAATAACTAGGCAGGAGAGGGATAGGCAGGGCTGGCAGACAGAGAGAATAAATAGGAGGAGAAATCTCGGCTCAAGAGAAGAAGAGAGGAGAGAATGAAAGAGATGTCCAGGACCAGTAGCCAGGTAGCCTCCAGCCAGAGAGACAGAGAGATAACAGGAAAGTAAGATATAAAGAAAGAAAGGGAGAGAGCCCCAAGGCAAAATGAAAATGAAGAGAAACAAGTTAATTTAAATTAAAGAGAGCTAGCCAGAAACGAGCCTAAGCTAGGCCAAGTATTGATAACTAATGGAAATCTCTGTGTCATGATTTTGGAGCTGGTTGGTGGCCCAAAGGAAAAGCCTGGAAAAACTGACTACTTTCTAACTATCTATCATCAGTTTTCCTCCCAGTATCCAGGTCTCCAGTCGGTGTCTCAGACCATCCTTACCCTCCACGGCCAAATAGATTCACTGTCCACCATAGTGTTACAAAATTGGTGAGGATTAGATCGACTAACAGAGAAGGGTGGTATTTGCCTCTTCTTCAGGGAGGAATGCTGCTTTTATGTCAGGGATAGTAAAAGATAAGATTCAACAACTCTAGAAGAATCTTTAAAAACACAGGGAACAGCCTTTGGCCAGTGAATCTTTGACAGTCCAATATGGAATTGGATACTGCCTTCTTAACCTCCATTCTCTTCCTTTTCTTAATCTCACTAGACTTACCCTGCCTTATAAATTTCTTATCTAGATTTCTTCAATAAAAGATTCAAGTATTTCTAACCAGACTTTTAATCAGTTGCTATTACAGGATTACTGGCCCCAGCTACAAAGCCCAATTATAGAAGGTCAAGTTCACTCCAAGGACTTTGACACCCCCAATCAGGAAGAAGTGGTCTAAGGTAATGCTTCCCACTTTCCCAGCCACTGACTGTTTAATATTAATTTTTTAAAAAAGGGGAGAAATGTAGAGTAAAAAGTCTGAGCCTATTTCTTTGTTTGAAAACCTGCTAAAACCCACCAATTCCTGAGCACAAAAAACCACCAGTCTCTTGAGTTTGAAATTCCACCAATCCCTGGGCTTGGCATGAAATCCCACCAATTCTCACCCTGGAAATCTCCACCCTAGAAAACTCCACCCCCAAGAAACCCTATATAAGTCTGTCTCCTGCTCAGTTCCCTGGTGCTTCTCATCTAAGCAGAGGCAACTACCCTCTTTGACTCTCCCACTAAATCTCTTATGTGGGGTTTGTTCTATGGTGTGACTCTGTGGTATTGCTTGACTCCCTACTGCAAGGTTACCTTTCCCTTCAGAGTTGTAACACTTACACTAATAATGAATGCTTCTCCTACTGTGAGTATATGAGGAAAACATCTCTGCATAATCAAACTCTGTAAACAGGATCTGGCTCTTGCTTCTTTGAGGAGTGGGATGATGATTGTGTAACTCAGGTCTCTCTTTTTACACCTTTTACATGTGAGATTGACAGAATGCCTGAGTACAAAATTTCCTTCTTATTTGGGACACTAAGTGATGCTTCGCTTAACCCTTTTAAAAGTCAGAAACAAAATAAAGAAGTCTGCAAAAAGTCCCATGACTAAGCAAGTTAAAAAGATTCTGAAGAACATCTATTTAGTAATTTCTTCTGTTTACATTTATTTATCAATTATTTCTTGGGAACAGGATAGTGCAGACACTTCAGTATTTTGACCTTAGATTTCTGTTTATCAAGTTATCTTTTTGTCAGATGTAAGTAAAATTCTTTTTAAATTTTTTTAAATTGCATTTGCTTATTTATTGTGTGTGTGTGTGTGTGTGTGTGTGTGTGTGTGTGTGTGTGTGTGTGTGTGTATACAAGCATATAACACACAGTGCTTTGGGAGGTCAGAGGACAGCTTGTAGGAACTGGTTTCTTCCATCAACTGAGATCTGACATGGTGTCGGTCTTGGCAGCAAGTGATTTCAACCGCTGGCCTCATATGAAGGTAACATTCTTACATGACAAGCAGCCAAAGAGGTGGGAGTTTCTGAGGGCTCCACACTCTGCCAGTCATGCAGTTTAGCTATTATTTGATAATCCAACACCAGGAAGAGATTTGAAATGAAGAAAAAAAATCACACATTAGAAAGCTATTTAGAAGGCAGAAGTGACAGATTTATTTCTAGAGGAGGCAAGAATGATGTCCAAGATTCTGAGTGGAGCACTGAATGAGCAAACACCAGGCACTTTGGGGAGGACAGGCTTGGAAGCGTTCAGTTTCCGGCAGGCTGAATTTTAGGGACCTGGAAGACATTCAGATGGTAATGGTGCCTTGGCTAAATGGTTCTGGAGCTTAGGGAAAGTCATTTAAGCTCATTAACATTTAGGTGGTTGTTAAACTCACATAGGTTAACTCACTCAAGGAGATTGGATGCAAAGAGAAGTTAGAAAGACAGTGTGGGAATCAATGTAACAGTTAAGCTAAACCTGGGATTTCTGCCTTGAACCAGGCAGTCTGGTATATGGTGAGTGGCCACAAGTCAATAATGCTGTCTGATTCCAGTAGAAGTGAGTGGATAGCCTCTTGAAAGAAAAGCCTGCAAGATGGCTCAACAGGTAGGCATTTGCTGTGTAAGCCTCATGATGCAAATTCCATCCCCAGAATTCACACATCATGAGCATACATACAATTATAAAGTTTTTTAAAAAATTAAAACCATCTGACAAAGACTCAATAGATTAAGGTCAACCATTTTCAGAGCCTGCTGTTGCAACATATATTGTTAGACTGGCCAGTGCGGTCGGGCAGGCACACCCTCCCAGTTTCTCAGCTAGAGAAGGTAACTTCTCAACCTGAGGCTGTACATTTGCAGCAGCTGGTCAAGAAGTAAAATCCCTCAGCCGAGCAGAGACTGTTGGCGACAGTAGTGAGTTCCAGGCCCTGGGCTGAATTCCTTGGATGTTTCCAGGCTGCCACAGCTGTAGCAAAGAGAAAGAAAGCATGAAAAGATTGAGAGACATCTATGAGCAGATCCACAAGTGTTGCTGGACTGGTGAGATAAGAAAGACAAAAGCCAGGGTTTTTTTGTTTGTTTGTTTTTGTTTTTGTTTTCGAGACAGGGTTTCTCTGTGTAGTTTTGGTGCTGGTCCTGGATCTCGCTCTGTAGACCAAACTCGAGGAAAAACCTGCAACCTTTTGGAAGGGAAGAAAGACATGAGAAAGACCTTTATAGAGGAGGTCAAGGAGACCGAGAGATTTTATTCCCTTTAGGATTAGGGCACATTTGTTCTGGCCTCCCAAGGAATTGCCTCCTAGTCCCGGAAGATGACAGTAACCCCCTGAGCTTTAGTACTGTTTCGCAAACCAGAGTCAGCAAGCAGCCCGAGGACCCAGATCTTGCTCAGCTCTGTTTAGATTAGAGAAAGACAAGGCTGGGGCCTGGTTACCTGCCCTCCTCACTCTCCATCTCTAAGATTCATCTCTCTTCCTCCAGGTAATACTAACTCCACTAGCGGATTTAGTTTGGAGTCATTGGCTGAACAGTGTGACAGCTCACCGTGGTTCCTTGATAATGGCTTTTAGAATGCAGGATCAAGTCTTGATGAAATGCAGTGTGAGATGTGAAGGAGTCGTCAGAAACTGGCCCTTGGCCA